GGCTCCTTGGCCTGACTTTCCCAAAGGGTTGATCTGGCCACCTGAGCAGCTTGAAGCACCTTCCTGTTTCTAGGATCCATGAGCTTTACTTCAGGACTCATGGCATCCAGCTGCTGTCCCTTCTGTCTGTCATGATGACTGTGTCTGGGATTCACAGATTGCCTTCTATGCCTAAACAATGCCCACATTTGTCTTTCCAACTACCATGTTACAGCCCGCATTTTTACATTTCCCCTTTTTCCTGTTGCTATTAAAATATCCAGACCAGACTATTAGCCAGGGGAAGAACTTTAAAGGAATGAATGAATAGAAAAAGAAAGAAATTTCAAAGCAGCTTCATTGAGGCATAAAATGTCTCTTGCTTCAATTATGCAATTTAATTTAATAAATTTTTTTTTGTAAATTTGTAGAGCTTTGTAACCACTCATCTTGTTCTAATTTGAGAACAAGCCTAATTTTTTTTGACCAGCCTAAAAGGGTCTGCAAAGGTGTGCCCATTTGCACCTGTTCCCCAGTACTCAAGTGTTTGGGGTGTTTTCTTGGATTTTGTACTCAATAGTGAAGTGTGGCTTTCTTGAGTGATAATCACTGTCAAAGATCAGAAGAGATGCAGCTTATGCTAAGGACAATTGATGGCAGTCATGAGTAAAGAATAGTTTTAGTGGGCTAGAGCAATGGCGCTGCTCTTCCGAAGTGCCCTAGTTCAGTTCCCAGTACCCACTCCACACAGAAGGGGTTGGAGAGATGGCTCAGCGGTTAAGAACACTGGTTGTTCTTGCAGAAGACCCGGGTTCAAATCCCAGCACCCACATGGCAGCTAACAACTGTCCGTAACTCCAGTCCCAGGGGATCCGACGGCCTCTTCTGTCCTCTGAGGGCATTGCATGACACGGGTACACTTACCTACATGCAGGCAATACACGCATACACATAAAATAAAAATAATAAAAATTTAAAAAAAGAATAGTTTTAGTGTCAGAGAAGAATGAAGTAATTTATGGAAAGAATAAAAATGACTCTGCATTGGTGAGAGTTTGTTTTTATTTCTACTTTCTTATTTACAAGGTTAGCTTGCCTTCTTCCATGGTAAGCTTTTGTGCTGACAAAATTTATTCATACACAGTCATCAGGGACGACTTCACATGGCTTTCCTCAGCCACACTCCATCATGACGCAGGGAATGTGGACCGCACGTGTAAGCATCGGTTCCCATTGACTCTGGCTAGCCAGGGATGCTTCCTGCTCATAAACACTCTGTGTGTGGTTTTCAGGATTCGGTCTGAGTGCTCACTGGCTTGCCCAGCAGGGGTCCTGCTGTCTCTACATGTTCTCTCTGATACAATTTCAGGAACAGGCACCAATGCATGCTACATGGAGGACATGAGCAACATCGACCTAGTGGAAGGTGACGAGGGGAGGATGTGCATCAACACAGAGTGGGGGGCCTTTGGGGACGACGGGGCTTTGGAGGACATCCGCACAGAGTTTGACAGGGAGCTGGACCTTGGCTCGATCAACCCTGGGAAGCAACTGTGAGTGCCCTCTTACTATAATGCTGGCATCTGCACCAGGCAGTACCTGCTCACTCAGGCATCTGTAACTGAGAGGGTTTCAAGTTGTGACTAATCAACCAGCGCAGCAAGTCTGTCTTCAAGGTCACAACCTAATTCTCATGCAGTCCCTGGCTCTGGAGTACAAATGTGCTTACACGGCTCTGCTGAGAAGGAGATGGCCCAGACGACACAGGTGTGCCCTGTCTGCTGTGGTTCCTTAGGTACATGCTCGGCTCACTGAAGGCTCACTACAATGGCCGTTCATTCGTTTTTTCCTTTCTACATACAGTGCCTTACACAATGTTTGCAGTTTGTTGAGTTTGTTGAATGAAAAAATGTTTTAAAATATTTAAAATAATTTTAGATTTAAAGAAAGCCTGAGATAGTACAAAATTTTCCCCTTCTTTCAAAGTCCCTAACTACTAACATTCTTTATTTGTGTCTACATATGTGCATACATATAAAACACACATATATATTTTAAATTTTTTAAAAATTATTTTTATTTTATGTGTACAAGTGTATTGCTTCCATGTATGTGAGTGAACCCATGTCATGCAATGCTGCAGAGGTCAGAGGAGGCCTTCGGATTCCCCTGGAACTGGAGTTAAGGAAGGTTTGAAGCTGCCATGTGGGTGCTGGGAATCAAACGTGGGTCCTCTGCAAGAGCAGTCAGTGCTCTTAACCGCTGAGCCATCTCTCCAGCCCCCAAAACACACATATATCTATATATATGTATAAAGTTGTTTTTTTCTAGCCAGATGTGGTAGCTCATACCTATAATCCCAGTACTTAACAGGCTGAGGCAGGAGGATTGCTCTGAGTTCCAGGCCAACCTGGTCTATAGAATAACTGACTCAAAACAAAATCAGAATTTCTGAGTCCTTTGAGACCAAGTTGGAGACATGACATCTCTTTCTTTTCTTTTTTTTTTTTGTGGGGGTATGTGCCTTTTTTAGATAGGGCCTTTCTGTAGCCCCAGCTCTCTATGTAGACCAGGCTGGCCTCAGTCTCACAGAGATCCACCTGCCTCTGCCTCCCAAGTGCTGGGATTAAAAGTATGCGCCACCAGGCCTGGCAACATGGCATCTCTTAACCTCTAAGTACTTCAGGGTGTGTTATCTGAAATCAGATACCTCTTTTATGTAGCAACATCACAACAATCAGATGTAGGAAATTGGCGTTTTCATCAGTTCTAATGTCTAATTATGGAGTTTATTCAAAATTTACCAGTTGTCCCCACTTAATGTCTTCTAAATTTAAAAAAATTTTTATGTGTATGAGTGTTTTGCCTCCATCTATGTTATTTCACCTGTGTGTGCAATGCTCATGGAGCCCAGAAGATGGTCTTGGATCCCTGGAACTGGAGTTAGAGATGGTTGTAAGCCACCATGTGGGTGCTGGGAATGGAACCCAGGTCCTTTGGAAGAGCAGCCAGTGCTCTTAACCCCTGAGCCATCTCTCTAGACCCATGTCTTTTATGAAAAAGGACATGTCATGTTCTGGACACCAAACCAGGATCACAGATTACATTTTGTGACCATGTCTCTTTATTTTGTTAAACCCAGGGCCTGATTCATGGGAGGCAAATGCTTTACCACTGAGCCACATCCCAGTCCTTTGTTAGCCTCCTTTAACCTGCAATTGGTCCTTAGCATCTCTTGATTCTTCTGGCTTTGAAGCATACAGGCCATGGCCCCACAGAATGTCCCTAAATCAGATTTATCTGACATTTCCTCTTGGTTAGATTCAGGTGGGGCGGTTTTTGGTAAGAATATTGTAAAAGTGGTGTGAGTCCTTCCCAGTGCATGGTATCAGGAGGCACATATTACTTCTCCTTTAGTGTTCATGCTCATGCAATTCCCTTGGTTAAGATGACCAGGCAGGTTTCTAACTAAGGCATGCTCTTACTGCCTTTATAAATTCAGGTGGGGCGGTTTTTGGTAAGAATATTGTAAAAGTGGTGTGAGTCCTTCCCAGTGCATGGTATCAGGAGGCACATATTACTTCTCCTTTAGTGTTCATGCTCATGCAATTCCCTTGGTTAAGATGACCAGGCAGGTTTCTAACTAAGGCATGCTCTTACTGCCTTTATAAAAAGTATCTAGTAAAGGGTTACTCTGGGCTATGCAGATACCCTGGGTTTTTGTGAAGGTTTTGCTCACTAGATTTCACACCCAGCAATGATTTTTTTTCCCATCCAAGTACTAACCAGAAAAAAAATATTAATT